AATATCGATAGCAGCGTCCCTAGCAACAAGTAACAAGTAGTTAATAATAATAAAAGACATTAAGAAAAAGGCATTTTAAACAGTCATTAAAAAGCAACACAATCTACCTGCATTGCATTACTCTAAACGTGTAATAACGTGCCAGTAGGTGGTTTGGGTTAAAAAGCTGTCAAGTTTACAGTGTTAACAAAATAAAATATACTGCCGTTTCTGGTTTAGTTTACGACGGATATATTTAGTTATTGTTTTGATATTTGTAACACAAAAGCGATGAAAAAAAAACACAGCAACACAGAAAAGATGGTCTTAACATGACCCAGCGGTCTAGTAGTTAATAAAAAACAATAATATCAAAACAAAATATTACGACTAACTTTATTGTGAAATTCAAACTGAACGGTAAAAGAATAGTTTCCGGTCTATCCTGAGCCCGATCTCTGTAAATAAATACGACGTGTAATATATTTAATGCAGTCGAACCATTTATTACAATGCATTCATGTGATGACTTTCAAAGAGTAAAGCAAGCACTGCTGAATAAAGTATGATTTTATCTTTTACGAAACGTTTTTTTTCATATGGAATGCAGTTGGAGGTCAACCAATCATAGAGCTTGAGAACTAATCACGGGGTTTGTCAAACAGAGCACAAGGTTTAGTCCTAAACGATAGCTGGGGATTCTGGGTAGTGTAGTGTCTTCTGCCATCCTTTACTCCGAAAAAATATTTGTTTCTCCGAATCGAAGGGGAAAAATCCAAAAGCATTGCACACAATTTAAACCAATCAATGTTGTGTAATTAACAAGGATAATCTGGTGTTTTTAGTCGATGAGTAGTGCAGATATCACTGTAAAATCAATCGACAGTAAGGGGAATACTTACTTCCGGGCGTACAATTCTCCGTTATCCAATGGGAATGGACGCTCACATTGCCTTTAAGGGCAGCCGACACAAACGAATGCCGTGCTTCCATGAGCGTCAAATCTCGCCGCAGATGGGAATACATTGCAATCAGTTGAAAGCTATTTGCGTCCCTTTATGAAGCTGAAGGAGCCTAGGAGCGTCACAACTGCACGCCACGGGACCCTGACCAAACGTCGCTCCTGGACGATTATGGAGTGAGAGTGTGTTGTACTGAAAGGTTGTGTGGAATGGTCGTGATACATATGGGTAGCGGAGAAAAAGGAAAGAAATTATACCAAATGTAGCATCACCAGTTAGCATGACATGGATTGGGTTTTGAGTGACAGGTTTCAGTTCAAGTTTTAAATTCATATAGAATTTGAATTTAGGGTTAACAAAAAAATGAGCATTTAATAATATTTTGTGCATACTGAATGTTAACAACTTTTGTTTGTGCTTTTCTAAAACGTTTTATGTTTTGGGCCGTTTTGCTGTTAGTATTATTATATAAACACAACAGTAAAAACCTAGGAAGGGGGGAAAGAGACAGGGGATGAGATGAAGCAAAGGGCCCCTGGTTGGATTCAAACCGGGGCCCCAACTGTTTAACAGATTTACCTGGGTGCTCGGACAGCTCCTGACTCTCCTCCTCTGCTTGGAGTTTGCCAGTCCCCATGGATACAGAGCTGCTCTGGCTGTCAGATGTTGTGTTTGGACTGCTTGTTTCCTGTCAGCAAACAGCAACTCATCAGACTTGATACATGAACGTTTATTTATATGAGTGTCTTTGGACCTGGTTATTTGAATTGACTACACATTCATCATATTATGCTGTATCTAGTTTATAATTTGTAGCATTACATTTTCTCCATAAGGCCATCACAAAAAGCAACTCTCGAGTTTCAGATCAAAAGGCTGACCTGGCTGGTGTTGGCAGAGACATGGGATGCCATCTGGACGTGGCTAGTTTCTGGACTGAGACACGCGGAAGTGTCCAGGCTGAAGCGGCTGGCCAGAGCTCCCTTGTTGGTCAAGGTGATAGTCCATGAAACAGTTTGGCCGACTACGTGCGAACCAAAGTCAATGAACTGGTTGTCAACTTTCATCTAGAGAGAGGATACATTTATATACAGAAATTAGCGTTAGCAATGAAGATTTTTTTAAGTACAGAGTTTAACATACATAACATTCATATTTGTTCCATAATTATTGTTCCAATTTTCCCTTATATTAGATAGATAGATACTTTATTTATCCTATTTTTACTTATATTACTATAAGGCCAATAAATACAATGTGGTATACCCAAACGCTCACAAAAATATGCAAAGCTAGAAAAATAGCAAAGCATGAAAATAATATAGGTCATTTGAATGTAATTTCCTCTAGGAGTGCTACACAGCATGACTCACATCACATTTCTTTATGGTGCATCTGACGGGCACAGAGAAGGGACCCACTGCTGATGCAAACCGGACCTCTCCCTCCAGATCCTCGTTGATCTGAGGTGATCAGATAATGGGACAATGTGTTGCTTCATAACACCATAACTTTGATATTTGATAAATCCACAGACATTTGATTCTTAAATTCGAATAACAGCGAGCAGATTGTTCTTTTGACTTTGTTGATGAGAAACAGAAGAAAGCTGTATACAAGTTTAACAACTTCCAATATTTTCATTCTTCACAAGGTTACATGTATGTACTGTTTTTGGATTGAACTATCATTTTAGATCTTATTTGAAATAATATAAAGGTGCTGCAGGGAATATCTCAGTCCTCTGTACCTCTTGTTGCCTTGCACAGCTCATACATATCTAAGATTACGATATGCAGAGCCACAGGATTAAGCCAAGACTCCATTGTGTAACTCTTACACTGTTCATCTGATGTGGATGTAAAAACACGCAAATAAAACGCTAACACCATAATGTGTTAATTACTCAGTTTTAAATCCAATGTGGTAAAGAACAGTCAACACAACACAAAATGTGCCATTGATTGCACTGAAAGGAAATACATGTATTATATATATACAGTATTATGAAAGTCTGAACAATGGTTTATTCCATTTAATAACTAATATATGTTTTAGTTTTTGTAACATTTCACAGATATAAAAAGTCTTCAGTCTTTTAACAATCAAATGTGTAGAAGTTTGAAAGGAGGGGGTGTTACTAACCATAGGTTGAAAAACAGCCTGCGTGTCACAGGACATCCCAGTGGATAAAGAACCAGGTGGATCAAAGCTGAAAGGCAAATCACATTAAGCTCTGAATAAGAAAATCTGCATTTTTCAACAAAAGAAACCCCACAACAGCATATAAATATGGATATTACAGTTAAGACATTTTCTTCAGAGTTGAATAATGTAAAGATATGAGTAACACAATTTAAAAGCAGTGTTTGTTTCGTCTTTGCGTGGCTTCACACATGTAGATAACATACATAACAGAAAACAAGACAAAACAAGAACACCACAGAATGCGTACAACTTCAGGAGGAAATACATTCAACAGAATACCAGCATTAGCAGCAGCTTCAGATAAAATGCAAAATCTCCTGAGAGCGGATGAGCTGAAGAGCCGAGGTCAACAGTCAACCTGATGCTCAGTTTCAACCACGCACAAGACGAAGAGGAGAACAAAAGCTATTGTTCCTAAGGAAAACACTGCACTGTAGAACAGATGGTTTGGTATCATTTTATATTATTATCGCACTGTTACCAAACGTTTCTTTCCAGTCGAGAAAAGAACCATGAGCACTGTGAGCTATTTCAATGCAACATGTGTATCTCATCTCACAGCACATGTTTACAACAACCCCAAGCTGCCTGAGGAGCTTCACAACTTGCCGCCCTTCGAAAGACACAAGAGGAGAGCCGATCGATATGAATATAGCAGGCAGCCAGCCAGAGGAGCACGGAGGATTCTGAAAAATAAATAGATAAGCTCGAGAAATCAATTCAACTACTACCATAATGAGGAAGAAGCTACAGTTAGAATACATAAAAGATACCAAGCCTTTGTCTTACGGCCTTCACAAAGGTTTCATCGTATTCATTTGGACATTTTCATGCATGCAGTGGGTGTTTTCATGTATAAATGATGAGGTGTTGGCCTGCAGGTAGTTCAAAACAAAGCTGGAAAGGGTTCATATTAGTTTTCTTATGTCAACTTGCCAAACTCTGTGAGGAAGGAGAATTAATTCTGCACTTTTCCTTCTGTTACAAATCAATCAAGGATAAACAGATACACAATTAATACAGGACAGCATGGGGTGAATAAAGTCAAAGTGAAATTCTTTCTTTAACACATATGCAAATATATCTATGTGCATTTTATTTTTTTACGTACTTATTCAATGATATCACCAAGAATAAGGCATTCAAGTTTTGTGAATCTTTCTGTGATTACAGTGCCTCCTTTATTAACGTCCTCTAATATTTGCAGGACGTTTTGTCCCAAATGACAGAGCTGTAAACTGATTGGTCCACTAATTGTTTACACTGTATGAACAAGAGACAAAGTAAGCTAACCTTCGCTGTTGCTACAAGTCATGGGAAAACAGCGAGTTGTAAGGACCACACTAGCATCTAACATGACAAAAGTGACATTGACATGCTTTTTAATGGGCTGCAGCTGACTAGCCAATTAGCTCTCTAGCCTGACGTTAACAGGGCACTTTTCCCTGGTGGATGATTGTTCTGTCACTTCAGCTAAAAGTGA